ATCCAGAAGAGAGCTGATGCTACAGTATGCACCAATTAACGTGGGGCTAGTACCTACGGATTGACTCCCAATGGCTGTTTATTAATTTCAAAGGAGCCTCCTCCTTTTATTTAATTTAAGAAACTTACTCGGATGATGTCCTGTACGAAAAAAATATGCTTCCACACTGCTACGTAAGCTAACGTTAAGCAGCAGCAAAAAGTTTCGTCAGAAACGGAAGTACTGCTGTGAGATGTTTAATACCAAACAAAGTTTCAGACGAAGTGAGTCTTCATGGTATTAACTCATCATCATATCGCTGCAGAAAATAATACGATTCGGTCATACTAACATTATAGTTTGAAAAGTATTGGCTCCGACGTCCCTGCTGGCGTCTATAGTTTATTAGTAAACTGTTAGGCTTGAAATATCACACGGAACCATGGATGATGTCCTCTTTGTTAAAATATCATTTGGAGAAGAAGCTGAGTTTACTTGACATCTCCAATTGGCATCGAGCGGCAAAAGAGAAAGTGGTTGGTGTTCCTTTCTGGTTCCAAAGAAAATATAATCTTTGTGTTCAGCTAACTAGCTGCGTGGCCCCATTAGTTAACATTTTTTATATTTTATATACTTTTACTCACGTTTTACTCACTCACAACGCACGGTACATTGGAAATTATACACATATACTTAGTCTAGAAATACTCTCTATATTTCATGCATACTTTTAGGAGCTACTCATATATGTCTACTTTACCATTCCTACTGGGCCACTTCAAAGCAAACCTCATATGAAACATATTTGAACATTTTAGTTTTCCATAAAACACACACATACACAGACACACATAAACACACATAGAAATACATATAAATTCAAGGCAAAGCATGTAGCTGTGTGATTCGGATTGAGACAAAGTTTTGAAACCGAAATAATAAAAGCCGCAGAAAGTCGAAAGCTTGACTGCCATTGCCATTTCCATTGCTGCCTGCCGACACTCGGCGACCATGAGTGCGAATACTATTTCGAAGCATGTCGAAGCGGAAGTTGAAATCAAATTTATGGCAATTTATGGCTTGACATATGCCATCAAAGCTTATGTGCGTGTGAGCGTGTGTGTGTGTGTGTGTGTGTGAGGTTGCGAGTGTGAGCGTGTTGAGCAGTAGTACTTATGAATGCCTTCAAGTTGGGCCGACAAAACACTGGATTTGCGGTGCTTTTGCCACGACAATCTCTTACACTGCATACTAACACGCACATACACATGCACATGTGTACTCATAACCACACATCCAGTCACAGACAATCTGTGTGCGTTACTGATGTTGCATGCACCCAAACGTAAATTCATATTTACATAAAATATATACATATGTAGGAGGGAATTAAAAAAAGTTCGGTAAGTTGACAAGAAAAATCTTGCTTTTTAAGCTCTTCAGCATTAACCGCATTAATTATCTCCTCGTGGCTATAGAAGACCTTTTCTCTTAAATTATATTTCGCTTTGGAAATAATCAGAAATCACAAGTTGCTATATCCCGGGAATATGCCGCTGGTATTTTTTCGATCCCATAGATTGCAATAAAATTACTCGTTATTTCCGCAGTGCTGGATGGCCTGTGTTCCAGCACATTTTTGAAAGCTCGTCGGTGTGCCATTTTCAGTACCGTCTAACCTTTTTCTAGTGACAAAGCAGCTACGATTTTGGATCGATGAAGTAAACTGACATCATAACTTTTGCTGCTGATTTTTGTTGCTTTGATTTTACGGATGGCTTTGCTCCAATTGGGCTTCATGCCATGGACATGGACTTATAGAAACATGATTTATCACTAGTAACGACTTTCCTAAAGTTGCTAGACTGATCATTTCGAATTAGGTTAGAAGAAATAATTGAGCAAAATGCTCTCGAGCCATTTTGGGCCTCATTGAAAAATCGTGGTATCCATCGAGCAAATTTCTGCGTGTATCTCAGATGATTAATGTTGGCGATACAACCACGGCATTCAAGCCCAATTCATTAGCAATCATTTCTTTGGCCAATTGTGGGTTTTCGTCAATTTTGGACTTGACGAGAGCCACAGGGACGCCATCAGTGGAAGATTTTGGTCGCTCTTCGCCGGGCTCGCCATCTACGGAAAAATGTTCGGTCTGCAACCTCCGGAACCACCTAAACCTAATTTCTAAAGCCGATGCAATTGTTCCATAAGCAACTTAGTATTCATTGAATGTTTCTATTGGCTGTAAATTACGCCAGAACTCGAAGAGAATCACATGGCGAATTTCTGCTTGCGTTGGTTATGGAACTTTGTCTGACCTATTCTCAGCTATCTTGCGTTCTCGTCTTCATATCAGTCGATGAATTTTTAGATTTAGCAAAAACAAATTGATACTCACCAACTCACCGAACTTTTGTTGGCCTCCTCGTATATGCAACAGTAGCAGGAAAAGTGCTTACGTCATAACCACACAAATAGAATGCAGGAGTGCATGTATGTACGTACATGTGAATTAGATGAATATGTGTTTTTTTTGTTTTTATGTACTTTTCTGCAATAGCAGATTTACACTTTAATAGATTTACACTTACACGCACTAATATGCACGCATGTATGTATGTATTTGTAATATATGAGAATATGTACATTTATGCGTTGGCTCATTGTATTTTTGCGGTCTCTAACTGTAAATTGAAAATAAGACATACGAATTTCACATAAATTTTATACAATATTACACATAAAACTTCTGCTACATTTAGGTGTAAGTGTGTTTAAACAATTGCTCATATTGCCCATAGAGGCTTTTAAATAGCAATATAAATATGTAGACACTTAGCTATTTATATTTATGTGAATGTATATTTGATGGAAACAATTTTGAAGTAAATTGGCTGTGAGCAGACGTCAACTATCTAGATTTATTTTTATTTATTTTTAATATTATTAAAAGCCTTGGAATTAGCATTATCAACGAAGTGTGAAGAGAGAATGATTTTTAACAATGTAATAGTTCAAGTGGTCGTATGTAGGTGAGGTTCCAATCAAATGGAGTACACTTTTCGTGAATTGTGGTTAATTTTATTTGACCAACCCGTACATAATCGACTTTAGTTGTTCTTTACTTCTTCAAATGGATAATTACTACTCGGGCTACGTTCAGTCAGGTCACCTTCACAAAGAGACTTTTGGAGAAACCTAAGGGAAGTAGAAACTCAGAGAATTAGTAAGCCTGCGTGCACGTTGGATACCTATGAACTTATGGGGTATTTTTTCAGCACACGTAGAAGTTTGGAAGGGTCCAGGTCCACGGACTGTCTTAGCTGATCGAGAATTTGTGAATGAATTCCAATTTGTGGGGGTGAGCGAGAGTGAGTATAATTCACAATTGCAATTAAGTCAAATGCGATTTCCCTGAAGTTTTTGAAATTTTCACTGCCGTTTTTAGATGCTACCTTAATTATAATATTATTATTTTTGCTGTCATAAGCTTGATGAGTACATATTGTATTATATAATATAAAATCGGCGCTTTGCAACCATCTCCGAACGGTTTTTGTATTTTTAAGAGGAGATTTCTTTATTTCTTGCAAGAAATACCCTTGATGGACGACCGTAATTAGAAAAAAAAATTAATTTTTTATTTAGATATATTTTTTATAATTTTAGATGTGGTGGAATCACGACCCGAACCCTGGCATTCAGCATGGCAGTACACAATGCATATAGCTCTAGTAAAAAGTGATCCATTATTGCGCAATCGTTATACATGGCATGGCATTAGAAAGATGAAATTATGTACCAAAAGAGATGACTGGAAAAATGGTATTTACTTAGCTCACTAATGTCTGAGTGATGGACACAAATAGACATAAGCAAATACTTCATATTGTAAAAACATTATTCGATAGAGATGAAACCGCAGGCCACGCAGCTGAAAATATGAATAATGTTTATGGTCCTGATATCGTTAGGTTCGTTGATTTCATTACTGTAAGTTTGATGTAGAAGATTTTGCACGACGTGGTAGGGAAATTGCAGAAAACATTGATAAAACTATAGAAATCTTCGAGTGTGACCGTCATGCGAGCACTGTTTTGATTGTCACTGAGCTAAACAATGCCCAAAAAATTTTTCGGAACCATTTGAAAAAAGCTATATACACATGAGTTAACCAGAAAGACTCTCACGGAGAGAATTTCCCCTAGCGAATCGCTGCTGAATCGTAACAAACTCGACCTTTTTCTGAAAGGGATGGTAATTGTTGATGAGAAATGGTTCACTCTCAGCGAGGGGATATAAAAGCGGTCGTGATCGAAGGGTAGTGAGCCGGCACAAGCAGTTTTCAAACAGAGTTGGCCGTCACATCGGAAGATTAATGTTGTGAGTTTGGTAGTATTAGTAAACAATTTTAAGGACACACATCGATAATAACTCGCCAGAAGTTGCAAAATCTTGGTTGGGAAGTTTCTATGCATCCAGCTTATAGTCCGGACTTCGCCCTAAGCGACTGCCATCTGATTGTTTCTGATTGTTTCTATGGCCAAGCTCCTCCTCCGATTTGTGGTTTTCTGTCTTGATGTTTTTCCAACAAATGGAGTGACCTACAGTTTATACTAAGCCGCTTCCGAACGGCTGATTGTTTTTTATTAGGAGCATTCCGCAATGTTAACAACTACCGAGGTACCAAAGACGAATAATTTAGCTGGTGAATCGTCTCTTGACTGTTCGATAGAACGCTAGTCTTGTTTATGATTTCTCTGAGATTCACTAAAATTTGTTCAGGTACGCTTGTTCTTCTACAATGGCATAGGCAGCACTCAGGCGTATACTGTTTAGTTTTTGAGTTTTTCAAATTTCGAGAGGCTTCTTTCCTTTCTTCCAGCTTTTATTCTTGCTCAGCGTGGTGCTGAGTGCTAAGTCAGCACAAAAGAGTATTCTATCAGTTTTATTTATTAAATTATTATTTTTAAAATCGAACACATTATGAATATAAATAATTTATCATTAAATAAAAGCATTACATATAAATTAAATATATATGTACCTACGAATACATAAGCTTATTGCTACAACTAAAAATATAGTACACAGGTATATATATATATATATAACCACAGATATCACATTTATAATAATATAGGACACTTATACATAATATTAATTTTATCAATATCCTTTTTGCTCATATGCTCCCGCTGACCAATCCTCGCATTCGGATCCAATGGTACAATAGTATCGTCACCATTTTTAGAAAACGCACGCGTACTATAATGCAAGCAGCTTTCATAGTCATAGCCCACATCGAAGTCGGTCACGAATGATGCGTCATACTTTTCAAAATTCGCCTCTTTCCCTGGCACAATATTATCATAGACAACTTGTATGTATTCATCGCGATTGCTATCGCTTTGCTGATGGTAAAAACCGAGGGCATGCATGAATTCGTGCAAAATAGTGCCCGGACGAAAACAGCCTTCGCCAATTGGGTAATTCTCCAAGTTCATTGTCTGCACTTTGGCCTGATAACCCACTGCTGTAAAACAACCGCCTGTTTTCGATGAAATGGCAACATATCGTTTGGCGTCATCACTGGCCTGGTGGAATTTCAAGCAGGTGCGCGACTCCAAAACTTCAATGGCCTCTAAAATGGCTTGTCGATGTATGACGTCTGTTGAAGAAAAGAAAAGAATGTAAAATTATATAGAGTTAACCATTAAGCTGTTGGGAAAGCAAACGTATATAAAATGCATTTAAACATTACAAAATTATAAAGAAAAATTCAAATAAAAAATTAAGTCAAATGTCAAGCTCTCCAAATGTAACATGAAATAAAAGCTCCTCAAAAACATCCTTTAGCCGTTCGGAGCCGGCTTAGTACAAACTGTCTATGCCTTCATTTATTGGAAATAGACCTAGACGTTTTGGTGAAGCAGCTCGTTCAGATATCTTTTCAGTGGTTACAAGGTGCCACTATACCGTATTGCTTCGCATTTAATCATGGAAAAACCGCACAACCTTTGCATATCGTTCAACTTTATTACGAAAATTCACGATCTGTAGAGAATGTGTTTCGCGTGCTTCGCTCAACTTATGGTCAATACGCCTACTAAGCATATTATTCGCAATACCATCACCCATCTTGAGGCCAAGCAAATATAGCGGTCGTAAGTGACATCACTTCGTTCAATGGGCTGTTGAAAAATTCCAAGAAGATCCGACGTTTTCGAGCCAAATTTTGTTCTGCGGTGTGGCCCATTTCTGGCTCAATGGGTCTATAAACAAGCAAAACTGTTGCCTTTGGGACGATGAACGAGAGATTCAAGAGTTGACATTTCATCAAGAAATACCAATAGTTTGGTGTGGTTTGTGAGTCGCTGGAATCATCGGTCCGGTGAGAACGTAACCGTCAATGCCGTCCATTATTGCGCCATGGTAACCGATTATTTGATGCCTCTAATTGAAGCTCGTGCTGTCGGCAACAAATGGTTTCAATAAGACGGCGCCACTTCCCATACTTCTCAATGGATTTTTTGCGAGAACACTTCGGTGAGAAGATAATTGGAAGTTTTGGACCAGTCGATTGGCCAACAAGACCTAATGATATCACACCATTCGGCTTTCTCCTGTGGGGATATGTAAAATCTAAAGTGTTTGCGGACAATACCGCTTTGAATCAGGCCTTAGATCAAAACATCATATGTGTCGTTTGCAAATACTCGGACTCAACGGATGGACCATCTGAGACATAGCTGCGGCTAACATTTAAAAAGGATAATCATCAAAAAATAAATGCTAATGGATGCTCTTTCGAATGATACTGAACATTCCCCATTAAATTTGAATTTTCTGTATTTTTTTTCCTTTTAAAAAGTATTGAACCTCGAAATGGATCACTATTTATGTGCCATTGTAAAGCCATATTTGCTCATCTTGTGCGATATATGACACCGTCTTATTGAAACCATATATATTGTAGTCCAAGACGTATTCTTCAAATGCTCCGTGTTGAGAGTGACAATCACGTTGAAAAACAAATAAAAGCCCGACACTCACTGAGTTTTTTGGAGTGTACCGTCATTCTTTCAATTATTTAATAATTCTTGGAGTCACAAATGCGGCAATATTGCTTGTCTACGTAATTCCAGAGTGCCCTATAAAAAAATGTTCGGGAAATTTCTCGTAATAATTAATTGTAAAATTTCTAAAAACAAATGAGAAATATTGTTCCTTGACTGTTATTTTCTTAAGTTATTTATAGTTGAAATTATTTATAAATTTGATATAAATTTATAACAGTATCGTATGACGTTTTATCTTTGAAAATTTCGTTTTATTGAAAGGTGGAATTTTCATGCTTAGATTATAATTATATTTATTCACATACCGAAATCGCCAACAATTTTGTAGTATACCACAGCATTTGGCCAGCGCTTGGTCTCATCAACCAAACCATTTCTGCCGAGATCTCCACCTCTCAGCATACTTTCCTGGGCTGGTGTTAGAATCATATCACCTTCAAACATGCCCGCACTCAGCTCAGGATCAATTGCTGTTGATATTGGATTGCCGTAAGTACTGTTAGCATTTATCAATATATATAGTATAGGCCAAATTAAATTGGCTAAAATTCCACTTGTTTTCATTTTTCAAAATTTTTCCTTAAATTTCACCACTTGCGATGCGTTCGATTGAAGTTTGATGGGAACACTGTGAAGCCTTTTTGCAAACTGACCGGATGAGCTATTCGCATTTGCTAATTTAATCAACTTATTCTTATTCCCATACAAGTTGCCACGATAAGATAACCACAATTCAGCAAACGTCATACAAATATATGTATACATATATGTATGTATCGATAAAATTAATAGATATTTATTTGTGATAAGAAATTTTCAAAAAAATACGAGTATAATCACATTTTAATTTCGTATGAGGCAACATGAGCAATACACTGTTATTTGTCCAATAACACTTCATATAACGGTACTTGAATATACGACTTACTGATTGATCAAGTGGCGTTTGGTTTATGCACTCACTGAATGGTGTTAAAAATCAGAGTCATTCTTAAGTACATTCCGAAGTACAATAGTTGAAGCAAAACATTCCAGTCTCAACAAATTCAACGAGAATCTACTGCATTATGTGATAACGTAAATCAGAAAAAAGCGAAATGATCATGACAAAAAAAAAAAAAAAAAAATTAGTAAGCGAGGTTTGCACCGAACTCTTCAACCCTACGTTGACGGAGCTCAAGTGAGAATGAGGCATAATTTTTCATAGGAACTACTGTGGTGTAAAATCAAAATACTTACATTATAGTATAAGCAGAGAGTTGGAGTTTTACAGCCTCCATTCAACCCAACATCGTGAATTTTTGCAAACTTCGCTGCTTTTGAGATATTTTTCAGCCATTTGTGGGCACATTTTGAGCGGTATCACAGCTATAACGTGAGTCATGCTAGTTTTCAAGTCTAAAATAATTAAAAGCTTATCCGCATAAGCACGATCTTTCACGTAGTTCCACAAAAATGTCCAACGATGTCCACGCGGTTGGGAAATTTTCTGTCGCATAAAGCCAACTTCGCTCGTGTTGTGCGGAAATTTCTCTTCTTCAATTGCAGACCAAAAGAAAGTTGGTTATCATAGGATCATAACGCTTTGAATTGACAAGGATAGACTCGCCGTTGTCGTTTTCAAATTAGTGAAGTCCCATCACTCCTCTCGACCATAGAGCTCTCCAGGCAGTCATTTTTTTTCTTCTTTTTTTTCAATTATTTGACGACTTTCGAAACCGTCGTCCAATTTACGTACTGCAATGTGATTAATCAGCTGGCTTCAGTAGCTGTGAGAGTTGTGCCGCAAAGAAAGCCGCAAGTTTTGAGAGCGTCGCGAAATAGACGCATTGGAGGCTTCGGCCGCACTTTAACTTACTGCAGTGATATTTGATGTGGAACGAGAAAAACGGTATTGCAGAGGCTTCACAATATCTGTAACAAATTCACTCTTGTCTCGTTCACATTTTTTACCAATTGCTTAAGCAGTTGGACGATTATGTGCCTTATAAGCTCGTCTTAAAGCAAGATCCGTAGCCAGGCGGAACACGGCAGAAAGATCAAGGAAAGCTATAACTGCACTCTACGCCTTCAAAATGGTGATAGGAAAGAGATGGGGTCTAAGACCAAGAATCGTGCACTGGATATACACATCGGTAGTTAGATCAATCTTATTCTATGTGGTCACCGTCAGGAGCAAATTAGATAGAGTTCAGCGATCGGCTTTCATCCTCGAAAACACTGCTAACTCCTGGACCTATGCAGGAAACTACAAGCGGATTGCAACGCAAAAAGATTGAATGCAACTCAACCTTGGAAGCATTGCAGTATAGGACATACAAAAATATTATCTATTACGGGAGTGCCGAAGGAGCTGAACTATACAACCTACAGTGTATGCTTCGATAAACTTTTCTCCACGGGAATGCCAAACAGATGCTAGTGGGAAAACACCGCGATCTTCCCAGACGGTACGCTACCCACACTGAATTTATTCTCCCGTGCTCTCATAAAGCATGAGCATGAAAATACCGGACCACTGCAGCGTTTTCCACGCGGAGAAGTTTATCAAGGTTTTCTGCAAGTCCCAGTGCAATTTCGTCTAAACACGGCTTGCAGTAAAAGTTTGAGAGAGATTATTTGTTCGACTTGGTCATCTCCTGTAAAGTCTGGCCCCATTCCAGCAAAATTTTTCAGTTTGCCGTAAGATAACTCGAGCTTTGGTTTGAGTATAGATGTTTCACTAAGAGGTGGAAGGTATTTGTATTCATAACTGAACTGCCTTAGATGATGTTGTTGTTGTTATTGTAATTTGTAGCCGTTGTTGTAACCGCAAAAGTATTCCCTAAAGTGGTTTCTGGGGAATGTTCCGAGAGACACAGCCCCTGGTGGCATAAAAAAACGGGAGTCCTTCCGGCACCAAGACTAAATTCGTGGACCTCTGACCCCCAGGGGTAGTAATATTTTTTGCCAAGAGCCGAATGGTTTTGAAAAACACACCATTGTTGTTGTTGTTCTTAGTTTCATGCCGGAAACAGTTGAGTTCAATATGTTTGCGCTTTCACTTCAGAATCCTATCTCTTTCCAATGCATACCCCTACTCAAGCTCTTAAGACATTTAGATAAGACATCTCACGTTATTTTGTACGGAACCAATGCTCTCAAGTTAAATTACAATAACAAAAGGCAATGAGCAAGCCCTTAAGAAAAGCAAGTAATAATTACAATGAATAAAAATAGATCTCTGATAGGCGAAATAAATCCAAATCATTACTTTTTTTTAACACCAACAACTATAGGGCGTACATATGTACGTACATGCGCATATGAATGAAATACTAAGTTGTGATAATATCGTTCAAAATCGTAAAATTTCAAATTCTGTACTGTGAACCTTCAAGGGGTGATTGCGCGTTAATTTAGAGTCGTAATTTTATGATTGTGATGTCGAGCTCGCGCTTATGCCTTGATAAACCAGCCAATTAAATAAATTTTGTAATTTTATTCATTTTCACCGACAGCAATTGGAATGTATGCATGTATGAACTTCAGTACTGATATCATTATAAAGCTAATAAAAACTCTAATCGAAAATTGAGTTGTAAAATTTCACAATGTTGTGAGACTGGCGCTTATCGTTCAGTCGGTCAGAAAATATTTGCTGGAGTACAAAAAATGTCAGGATTGATTTGTGATATCATGTAAACAGTTAGATATAGTCGAATGTCCACTATCTTTTATTTATTACTCATTAGTAGTGTAGATATGCTGATGTTTCAAGCACTTTGTGTACCAATATTTGGCCACCACTGTGTCTGAACGGTTGAAATGAAAGTTTGTTGGAGACCATCACAAACCCAAGCGCATGTATATATTTTCATAATAGTTTTTCAAATAGAATTTGCTGCCGACGTACAAAATTTTTGTGTTTTGTTTTCATATATTTTTTTTCGTTCTGTTTATTTTTTGTTTCTTTCTCAAAACTTTTTCTACTATTCTGGTAATGTTTTGCGCATTTGATAACTGGAACTGTTGATTTTTGTTTTTAGATGAGGACTTCTCTTATGTATATATTTATATAATTAGCGCTTTGCAACCGCTGAAGTGAGTCCGAGCTCCTCCTCCAACTTGTTGCGTATGTCTGAATGTGCTTAGCAACAAATTGTGGCTCCTACAACCTACACTAAATCGTCTCTAAGCGGCTGGTTGATGCTAATGAGGAGCTTTTAATTCATGTCAAAAATGCCCTCGATGGCTTAACGTTTCTCTAATTATATAAATTATTGCTGGTCAGCTGGTCTAATGAGGATTGCCGGTGTCCCATTGGTGGGTGAACAGGCTGCCTGCTTCTCAAGGTTGCGATCGATGAATGAATTGAAGAGGGCAGCAAGACGCATGTGCAAACAAAAATCGAAAGATGATGAGAATTTTCGAAAAATCTACGAAAAGATGCGAGGATTTATAGAAGGTTGCAAGACCGAAGGTAATCTTGCGACGGAAGTCTACAGTTTACTGAATTTATAGAGGAAATACTTCTCCTCTGCCGCTTAATGGCTGCTCAAATCGAACACCACCCGTAGATAGCTAATCACATTTGCCAATCGATGCCGATAGAAAATATGTTTTATTTTCCGCCTATGAAGAAATTCGAATAGTAATCGCTCACGTGAAAACTAAAAGCGACGGTGTTCGATTGAAAGCTAAATGTATTTTGCCTAATCCACAAAAAGGTTGATTCCACAGTTCTCGCCGATTCCCCGTGGGATAAGCCTCCTCAATATCGCTCATAAGGTACCATCAAGCATTATGCGTGGAAGACTAAAACCCACAGTCAAACAAACTGATTGGACCTTATCAGTGTGCGGTTAGGCCTGGTGAACTAACCATTCATCTACGACAAATCTTGAACAAGAAAACACTTGTAAAGTGGGTCGAGACTAATTGAACACTAGTTCATACCTACCACAACGACTTACCTTTGGTAAATGGACGTTGGCAAAATTTTATGAAAATCAACTTTATAACGAGAAATTATGTTCAGCGATGGAGCTTAGTTTTGCTTGAATGAATTTGTAAACAAACCAAGTTGGGTTGAGTGATGAACAACCCAAAGCATTGCACGGCCCATAGTCAATACAATCTTTGGGATGCATTGATAGTTCTTGCAATGCTTTGGGTTGTTCTTCACTCAACCCTGTAAACGGCAAGCACTACCGTGCAATGTTTACCAACCTTTTATTGTCAAAATAGAAGCTGTGAACCTGGAGGACATGTGGTTTCAACAAGACGGCACCGAAAGCTATAGAGCACACCGAGCAACATTCGAATTGAAAGGCGAGTTCAGTGAGCAGTTTTTTTCACGTTTGGCAACGACCGATTGGTTAAGTATTTTTTTCTCGTGTATCTGCTTTATGTAGGTTTTTCTTTTACGAAAATCCGACACAAGCAACCGATTTTTACTAAAATTTTTTCATACTACCTGGACTCTCACTGTAGGCTGCACTCACTTCCCATGGGGTTCATGTATGTGCATTGATCCCGATGTAAATATCGTAGAATACTAATAAATTGACTTAAATACAATAAATTTATTTTACGTTTTTTGCGTTTTTAAAACTGTGCTGTGTGCTATGCGCTGGTTTGCTAATACATATACAGACCTACCTATATATGTTTGCAATGTATGTGCGA